AATTATAATATACACCCGCTTTTTTAACACATAGAAATGGCGCCCTTGTGTTTTTTATTATCATTATTTTAATGTGATTGTGTCGTTAATAACAGTGTCACTCGCATACCAAATTGAAACTCTTGTTAAGAAAACTATGCATCCTTTAGAACATTCATTTCAAAGATGCTTTTTATATTTTCATGCATCTGTATAGGGAAAGTAGAAAAAACTAACTCGAAGTTGTTTAAAAAACACAACTCAACATTTTAGAAAGGGTTGTCATGTGTATAGTCCTGTCAACTCCACAGACACACAAGACTAGTTCTTAACTGTGAAACGTTCATATGTATTCTGCAACGCCACGAAGCGATGCGAATCGTTGTTGATTTCCTACTATAGCTTTAGGAATACACTGCATATTTTAAAACGTTTATATTTGTTGACAAAGCAATTCTTGTTTTTGAAAGTTTCTGTATTTTGTATTTAATTCAATTGTCTAATGCGAATGATAAACTATTAAAATGTGATACTGTCAGAAACAGAATTTGTTATTTTTCATGCCATGGAGAATATGTATACAGTTTCTATAATTTGCGCCATCTGCCGACGAAACGCCAATGTGACATAAGTGTGCGTCATTGTGAGGTAGTCAGTTAATACAAAAACTATTTATGATTATTTGCTACCATATGCCAAACATTCGAACATCACTTATACACCCATCAATGTCATTTTGAAGTCATCGCGAGAGGGCGTTACTAATAGGTAAGCTATATTATGTTGACTATTTTAACCAAAGTACAATTGCTTTACCAGATTATACAGCCACTTATAGACTAGATCAGTCTGCATGTCATCGCGACTTTTAATGTCATTGTCTTGAATTGCGCTCTCTATCAACTAGTGCACGTTTTAGCCACATGTAATTTTTTTTCGCTTTAGGTTTCACTAAACTAACAGGAGGGGGTTTGAAACGACTCAACAAGGAATAATGGCAAAAAATTACATGCAGAATTACTCTCCGTTATTGATCCAGGAAGGATCGTTTTCCCCAAGATTTTTTTCCTGTGCAAATTATTTTTTTTCAATTGTCCGACCCCCAGTCTCCAATAGTCAACCCTTAAAACAGGCAATCTAATATCACATGTGGAGATGAAGAATCTCAATTCAATCACAATATTTGGCTACGTTTGGCAGTTTTTTGTGTTGTGGGTGGGTGTGTACTTAAAAGAATTTCCTTACCCAGGTCTTAATTACTCAGACTTCATGGAAGCCACTGACAGCAGAGTGATACGGTATTCTGTGTTTCAGCACCCAGAACAATAGTCATGCGAGGGCACCATTGAAGACCCTCAAGGAACTGTGAATTAATGGTCTAATTTTCATGCCTCTTTCTATTGTCCAAGAAAGTATCATACAGAAAGAATAGAGTCTTCAAAAACAGTGTTCACATTACACTTCTTTCTACTATACCAGGAAATATTAGATAGTATACAACATTTTGAGTCATATTCCCGGGTCATATTCAGTTTGCACATGACAATTTCACAAGTAAAAGTATTCAAATGTCACTTGCAAGGGCAAACAAGGAGTCTGTGATCATTGTACTTCATCATAATGTTCAAGACCAAAGCTTAAGCTGATGCCAACAAGGAAAGAACTGTACTGCATTTTCAAATACGTTACATAGTATTATTCAACCAACCAATCAATAAATTATTATTATTATTATTATTTGTCGCCAATGTTGTAACATAAAATAAGGAAAAAATTATGCATGAACAGTCCCTGTTAGTTATCAAAATTAAGATATATAGTTTTGTTTAAAATACTTTAGTTGGAACATAAACATGTCAGAGATATGGATCAAGAAGCTGATTTAACATTAAAATGATTGACATTCAGTCATCTTGTATCAGATCGTCAAACGAGTATTTGTCCATATTGAGAGATATTGCTCTGGAAAAGCATTAATTAAAACTAAATGGCCACCTATCGCCCATTTTGAATCGGATCGTCAAACAAATACATCTGTATATCTATGACATGTTGTATAATGAATATATAATATTTGAACACAAGCAGTCAAAGCGTGTCAGAGATACGACACTAGAACCCATTCATTAAAACAAAATGCCCTTCAGTCGGCCATTCTGAATGCGATCTGAAAAACAAAATGACATGACAAAGTTCCATAATGTCTGATGCATGTACCAAGTTTGAACAAAATCCATCTGTAAACAGCCAAGATCCAGTTTTAAAATGACAGAAATGCTTGATTTTAATAATTTTTCAGCACAAAAATGGCCGCCAGTCAGCCATATTGAATCAGATTGTGAAATAAATTCATGTACAGAGTTCAATCCATATTTCGCGTTTTCCGACTGCATTCAAACAGAGACAAATAATGAAGTTTTCATAGACCTGCTTTGGTATGTCCAGGGTACATATCTAATGAGTTAAAGATCATAATTCTTCTGTGAGTCAAATTATATCAAACACAATGAGATGGTATCCTTTCTGCCCTTTAACAACCTGTTAGGAATCTGTCCCCAAAAAGAATGACCAATATTTTAGTTTATTGTCTCAATAGACATATCAAGTATACATTGTATTTAATATTGTAGATAAAGCCTCATGAGTATTCAGATTCAAATCTTACAAGTTACATAAAGTGATTGATCCTTTACTGTAAATGATGCCATCATGTCTTATTTGAATCAAATCTATTTGAGATTTATGAAAAATGAATGAAATGACAAACAATGATTTGCTTCCCCATTTTTTCAGACTAGAAATTGTACTTTAAATTGGAGTGCCAATGCAATATGAATTTCCTAAATTGAATTTATTCATTATAATATAAACTACTGTACATAGCAAACAGGAGTTTTGGGTTAACCTAACCTACAAATGCCATCACACCGAAATGTTGGTGCAATATTTTTTACACATTTGTCTACAATCATTTTTGTTGTTAATTTAGGACCACATGGACACAATTTCTCCTTGGCTAAAAAGGTGATGAAAAATGTTCACAAAATCTGGGAAGATTTATGCAGCTTTACTTTGTGATAAGTGACAAAAAGGCATTTAAAGATTAACAAGCTAAGTGATTTGAGCCATTATCTAGACTAGTTTCATCTTCTTGGAAGCATTTTCCATAATTTCTTCATCATCTGTGTTGCCCAATGGAGATACAGACTGCAGAAGTGGAGTATCAAATGCACGCCCAAATAAGGAGAGAAGGAGTGCGACGCCATAACCAGTTGCTCTCTCTCCCTGTCAAAGATACAGAGGACATGAAACATTAAACATAGCTTAACTATTACAACCTTGCATATCTAAATTAAATAACAAAAAAAATGATGTACATATATTTTTGTTACATATCACATGCACGAAATAAGTATAAAAGTTCTAAAATAATGTAATAATATATCTAAGCATTTTGCAAGAAAAAAATAATAGTACATCAACATATCAAAGTAAAATTTGACAAGAAAAATATATTTACAATTTAAACAAATAGCTTGGTTAAAAATGAAAACAAACATTCATCCAGAAAATCACCCTGGGCAAAGCAAATACTCACACTGTGTACGGGTGATGCCATGTCAATGTGTAACCAAACACCTGGGAAATCAAATCCTATATGAGCACCAATGAAGAGACCAGCACAAGAACTTTGTGCATTACCTCGATCCTATTAATGTATCGAAGGAGACACAGAAAATAAACAGGTCAGAACTCAATGATTAACACACACCAACATGTCGTACTGTGTGTATTTTAAAAATCACAATAGTATTAAAGGGGAAGAAAACACAGCCTTTTCATGGTATCCATGTCAATAAACTGTATTCTGACAATCATTCTGTGATATTGCGTTAAAAATATACCAAGCTGTATTCCTGTAACAAGGGTCTAAGTTTGCCCATTAACTTGGCTTCCAACCATTGTAATGGCAGTGGTTTTATTTACAAGAGTGTCTCAGGTAATTAAGAAAGTTAGTAAAGAATAAGTCTGATAACTCACAGAAACAGAGTTTTTCATGTCAGCCACAGCACTGGCAAACTCATTGAAATGAATCTCAGGGCAGTATACAAGAGGGAAGACAAGATCACCAGAGTTCTTGCCAGCTTTGACACATGCTAATTCCCATTCTTCTCGATTGGTCAGTATTGCTCCATGGATTTTACCCGTTGAAATACCTTGAGCACCAGTTAATGTTGCCATGTCAACAATAATATCCGACTTTAAATCTTTACTTGCATATGACACCTGTAAAAGATTTAAATAATAATTGACTTGACAGCATAGATAGCATTACATCTCTAGCATGTAGAAACATCAAGATGGGGCTGTGAATCCTCCTACAATGGATAGAAATCAATCTAATGGAATGTCTTAAATCGTAATCTAGCTGCATAAACCTAGCCTACATATGATAAATTGTAATAATACAGGCAGTCACTATAGATATGAAGACTGCTGATATTAAATGATGTATTGGTACAAAACTGTCAACCAGCAAATAGATTTTCAGCTTATTGTTGTGCATAAAAATATTTCCTACAATTTGTACCACCAAACACATCACAAAAACTCAAGTTCAGATATTATGTGTGTTCACCACACACATGGTTATGTTCATGATTTAAATTGTTACTAGACTGCAATTTACATGTCAATTTACATGTCATGTCATTATAACAGACGAAAGAAAATCATTGAAACACATGCACTTCACAAAGCATATTTTTAAAATGACAATCTATACCAAGTTTTTAATACTATGTTAATATCTATATGAAGTTATAATGGTATTTATTACACAGAATGGTTCAAGATCACACAATAAGCGACAGCGATCATAAGGTCGAAAGCAGCCTGTATCTTTAACACTAAAACACAAAGAGCACGTTCAGTGCATTGATACATGTATATTTTTCAAAGTCCCAAGAAAGTCGGAAAAAAACAAACTCAAATTACAGCCCTTTACATCACTCATATTTCTCCAGCGGAAGGATGTAAAATACATTCTCAAGTCTTCATGGTAATTAAGACAAGTGTTATTGTACCTACCCCATCAGCCAATACCAGCCTCCCTTCAGCATCAGTGTTGTTAATTTCAACAGATCTTGGAAAGGAAAATGTTATTCAGTTACAATTAACATGAATTTTTTACATGTCTGATGTAAATTGTCATGCAATATGTAGAGGTTATTCACCGTCAACAAGAAAATATCATGTTATATCACAAGTTTTCATATTTGATATTCTCACGAGTCGGCTTTCAGAAAATACCATAGTTGCCTGCCCCTGTATTCTCTGGTGACCCACTAATTTAATTTCTAGATCTTTGAGTGACAGTATACCTGTAATGCATTTATCCTATGGTGGCTAATCAACTGACATAACATAATTACCTTCCTGAGTACATGACATGGATATCATCTGGTCTCGTTGCTATGGGACCAACAGAATTCTCTGCTAGACACAAGACAGCATGCAGATTCTCTTGAAAACCCTGAAAGCAACAATTCATTGTCAGTGGATCATACCAATTATAATCACATTATACTCTTAGTAATTGTGATTAAAATTAAATAAATGATTGAAAAAAGTAAAAAGTATAAAAATTAGCAAATAAAACATTGACACTAAAAACAGCAGAAATCCAAGAAATTTATCCAACTATAATGACTTCATCTCTTTATTCAAGTGTACAGATTTATGACTTAAACTGACATGCTGCAACATTCTATTACCGGTATGTAAATTTAAATTAAATTAGTAAATCAATCAATCCATGGAATGGAATTATCCACTGTCTTGTTTGCATCACACATGCTGAATCACAGCCTGCTGTAATATAAATACATAACAAACCCACCTGCTGAACAGCTGCTTGAAAAGCTCCTAAGATTGCAGCAGCACCCCCACAGTCCCGTTTCATTCCTGGCATAGTTGTCTGAAATAAAGATGGAGACAGTATATCAGCAAGATCCATGCATAACACAATTATTCCATTCAAATGTGTACTCAATAACAATTTCATCTAGAACTTTTCATGACAACACTTGGCCTTTAACATTATACTTTTCAAACCATTTTAGCATTTCTTCTGAATTCAAAGAATAAGAGCACACATTTAAAGTGATTTTAAATTTGTTTTCTAACTTCTTCGCACTCACCCAGAGTGACCTGCAATGCATTTGTTATTTACTTGTTTCACCAACTAAGCTAGTTAACAGCCTTCAGTGTTTTTCTACGGCCAATACAACACAGTATCTCAACCATCATTCGCTATAGTTTCAAGAGCTAAAACAATGAAGATTGTTATGTCTACAAAGTTTATATTCCTGACATTTGTTAATAGAAATAGTGACAATTGTAGGATGCTATTGTTTTCAGACTGATTATGTACAGTACACAATTACAGTAGTTTTGATGACAGAACATTGCGATGGGATGATGTTTGCTGATAATGAACATTTGCAGTTACCTAATACCAGTTTTATTTAAAATTGCATGTTCTGGTTGTTTAATCATATAAAATAAGGTTTTCACAACAACAAAAAACTACTGATATTGGTATGACATGATAATTTCCACATTTTGAATCACATATACCGAGTGACTTACAGTGATATCAATAGTTTGTAAACAGAAATCCACGTGAATTTAACGATGTCAAACCACAGTCCCTCAACAAATTTGTTCTAAGGTGTTAATCCCCCAATCGCTGGTAACAGTGCACTTTATACTTGTGGAGTGAAGCCGATGACGTCATAGCATCACGGCGTCTTCTTAGATTCCGTTCTGCTCGAGTAAATCTTGTGTTGAGGGACTGTGGTGAAACCAACCTAAATATGCAACTGCGGATGTCGAGGTGCTGTCACTAATATTTACATGAGATGAATGTAATTGGTCAAGACATGTCATAAAATTATTAATTTTGGCATTTATTTTCTTTCCCAGCATGAAATATTTGTTTAGAGAAAAACTGCCTTGAAAAATGCAAAAATGGATGTTTTTGGAGCAATTTTAAAGCATTATTCCATAAAAAATGAATAGTGATAGTAATCATCAGAACTAGAAAGCCCCAACAATTCATTATAACCATAAGTATGTCACATATGTACGCAAATGAAATTTAAAGATATGGTGAAAACTTTTCATGATAGGATAGGCCCCAATGATAAATGGCTCAAAAATCATCATTTTCATGAATGTTTGTCAAGTTGTTTCAATGGTAGCCAACCCTAATTCAGAACTTTAATTTTGAAAAACAAAATACTCCCTTGTCGGCCATTTTTTATAAAAAGGTAAAACAGATGAATAGGAATTTGCTTTGTTATTGTCCAGTTGGTGGTCAAGACATCAATTTGGGTGAGCTTTTGCCACAGTGTTTTAGACCTCCTGCAGTGGCTGGTTGGCAAAAGTTACATGTGGTTTGTGTAGATAATCGGATAACACGCACTCACCTTGCCCTTTATACTAAGACCACCAGTGTCATAGACAATGCCCTTACCAACCCATGATATAGTCTGTGTTGCATTATCTGGTGTATAACTAAGTACAGCCAAAGCAGGTGGGTTGATAGCTGCTTTCCCAACACCATAAATACCTACAGTTTTAAAAGTGAAAATATTTTATGAATTTTCTCTTCACAGCACAAAGTAAACATGACATAAAGGGTCATACTCTGGATGCACAGACAGGCATACATACACACATGCATGCAATCACATTTTTTGACTTTGTAGTTTACCTCCAAATCCTTTCTTATTCAGTTCTTCGCCTCGGATTATAGTAGTTTTCACATTTTTACCAATAGACTTGAGTTTCTCCTGTACTTGATGTATTTCCTACAAAGATGGAGGTATATCAAGTCAAACAGAGTATGGTACCTCTTTTTGAGACAATAACAAGGGTTGTCAATTCGTAAGTTAGTTGTTACAGTGTCATGTAGAGTTGCAAACATTTTTACTGATTAATCTAATTAAAGTGGAATTGTTATAACAGTGCAGTGCATCAGGGTTCTCCCACGGTGCACAAAATTCTGTAGGGTGCACCAAGGAACAAGCAAGTGGGCGTGGCACCTACACTTTAATCTGGTTGTGTGAATGCACAACCACAATGTGTGCATGCAATATACAAATGCAATTCGATTGGATCATATGTTAGAAAAAAATAGTTTTCCTATTTGAGTTGATCAGATCTTCACAGGACAAGCAAAGCAAAATATGAATAAACAAGTCAATAACAAGTAACCATCCAGTTTTTAGTGACTGTTATAATTAGTGCCAAATTATTTACACCCTTGCAATGGACATGATACAAAATGGAGCCAGTTTATTTGTGTGATTCCTTCCTTTATTCAGCCATGACATTTATAGTGTACTTCTAAAAAAGGATAATCAGTCACCTTGAATCACAATCTGAAACAAATGTATGTGCAAATGTGTTACATGATGTATGTCCAAAGTTTGAACATGGTCAGTCCAGTCATGGTAGCAATATGGCTCTAAAACAGCAATCGTTAAAAACAAAATGGCCATCAGTAAGCCATTTTGTATCAAATCTAGGAAAAAATTATGAGCTGCATCAAGGACCCGTTATGTTTAATGAAAATACCAAGTTTGAATGAAATATGTCTATGCACGCCTGAGATTTGGTTATGGAATGGAAATGATTTTGATGAACTTTTTTGCACTAAAATGGTGGCCATTTGGCCATCTTGAATTGGATCATGGAACAAATGCATGTGCATATGTGATATTATGTGTGTGTCTGTGAGAAGTTTGAGTGAAATTGGCCCAGGCATGTCTGAGATATAGATGCGAACAGATGTAAGGTGAAATTGGTGAAATTATAATAAAATGACAAAAAAATCAGATTGTAGTATGACTTACTGTTATGAAATCATCTGTGTTCATTTCATTACAAGGTGTGTCAACAATCCTTTGTGCTAGTCTAATTGATGCAGCAGATGATTCTAAAGTACTCATTTCTGATTCCGTCAGTGGTTTATCCTTGTCATCACCAACCAAGATAAACTCAACTGTCACTGTGCGAGGGCTAAGCTTAGCACTACCAGATTTACGAGTAAATAAAGGAAATGCTCGGGCAACTGCGCATCCAGATGCATAGACATTACTTCGCTGGCACACCAACTGTTAATAAAAGTTAATAAAAAAACAGTACATGTAATTTACTGTATTTTTCAGTTTTATAATACAACATAGATATGATGATACATATATGATGAAGTTCTCCATTCATGTGAATTCCATGCATGCATGAATTGAATGTACATCATCACAGTACGCAGTAGACATTCGGGAAGGTTCAATTGTGGAAACAGAAAAGAGTGAGATTAAATACTACTATATTCAAAAAGACAATACACATATACATGTAATAAATACTTGTACATTTGTTGTTCACAGTCTGGTTTATCAACGAGCACCTATGGCCCAAGTTTCATTAAAATCTGGTAAACGGTTATAAAAATTAATTAGGCATAAATTTTGACTCTAAATTAATCAGGTCTGTGGATTATCCAAGAAAACCTTTATACCAAATTTCATCAAATTTGATGAGTGGTAAAAATAAAAACAAATTTGTAGAACAACTATAAATTTGATAATTTATGCAAATTATTTAATTAGAATGCACAAAATTCAACCCTAAATAAATCGCATTTGTGTCTTACTACAGAGAAGCTACATACTAAGTTTTATGTAAATCGTTTGAGTGGTTCTTGAGATAGCTGTGAAGAGGCTGAAAGTCTAGTAAACACCAAAACTAATCCGAAGACATATTAGTTTCATTGAACATACATACATACACACACACAGAATAACCACAGAGACTCCCATTGTGTGTTTCCACACAGGAGTCAAAAGTTAATTAACCAAAACAAAACCAAATCAGTAATTACTGGGTACCGTACTTACCACTACATTCTCATCACCAACACCAGTTAGACATGTTTTGACAAGTTTAGTAATGGAATGTGATCTAGCTGGGCAGTTATGACGACTAGATTTCAGCGGTAACACTGCCACTGTTGCATTGTTAAACCAGAGGGAACATGCATCTGTGGGCGATGGATGAAGACATCTGACAGCTGCTTTGAATCCCTGTGAGAAGAAAACCAAATTACAATTAACCTCAAATCAAAAACTATGCCCCTCTTGATGATATTACCAGCAATATTTTACTGAAAATTGCAGCAAAACAAATGAACTGAGAGGGCACAAAGCGTTATCTGTTATGTAAATTTGCATAATGACAGTGTGTAAAGTGTACTTTTTTGTTGTTGAAAAATTAGCAATAGTTGAACACAACATAATTTATATGCCATTCACATGTATCAGTTTATGGTTGCCATGGCACCACTTATATTCAAAAAAAAAAAAAAAATTCAAAAATATCTTACTACAACAAAAATGTAGATCTATGAGATAGCATTAATAGGTTTCAACTGAGTAACCATTGCTTAAAAATGGAATCTGGAAGACAAACAATATCAAACACCTCTGAAGAAGAAAAAGTATCAGTATATGAGATATATGTTCAGAAAATAAAAAATAAGATATACATCATTTTATAATATCATGTTCCTTTTATAAAAGCCAGGACAAAGATTTATTTGAAATATAAATAAAGACAACATTTATTTGACAAAACAACAAAATATATCACAGTCTTTGCTAATCTAAACATTTACAATTTATAATGATAATTAAAAACAACAAGCAGCCTATCGGCTGAGATAGCTCCGCTGTTAGCAATGCACATTGCAATTAAAGAACAGAAGATATCATTAGAGAATGAACAATATGCATAGTATCGAAACAATGGGGCTTTCTTGCGACACAATTAACACCTCAACCGACTGAAGTGTTTTACGTTACAGATGAATGAATGGAGATGTCTGTTTCTGTCACTTGTAGACAACTAACCTGTAGAGTTCCAACAAGTATGGGTGGGATGAGAAGCATTATATATTAAGTATCAAAAAATCTGTATCCATGTAAATATTGAGTTTGACGCACGTCAAAGTATCGGCTTATTTGTTGTTATCACAGTGGGTGACGACTGTGTTTTAAATTCAGACAAAAACCATCGCAGTTATAGACAAAATGCCAGTGCCTGGTGATTGTTTTTTTATGCGAGGTTACAACGGGTCGAGTTGTTTTTAATTCCAGCTGAGGTCAATTTACAAGTAAACTATCTCAAACATTCCATTGTGTGGTTCACATCTTCAGAAAGCTGAGACGATGAATAGAGGAAGACTACTTTTTGATGCGTCCTTCTTACAAGGTCATAGGAGTCAAACTGCGTGAATATTTAATTAAACATGGTTGCTTTGTTTTAACAAACGTCCTCTCAAGTGAATATGTGACTTTGTATCAACTTCATGTTAAACTGAGCGTAGCTTTCATTCCAGCATTCCATGGTTTGTCCCCACGCTTACTTTTAAAAGTGAGCGCACTCCAGCGTTCCATTGTTTGGCTCATACAAGTGTGTGCAACAACTCGTTGTCACTGAGCGTTGTTTACAGACGCCGACAAATGAAAACACCAAAGACTAAACAAACGTCAGAGTTGCATCTTTATCATTAAATATAATTGTAGCCGATCCTGGCATTTATCTTGCATAAATCAAAATTGTACTCTCCAAAACTCATGTATACACTGACGACTTATGGTTACTTGAAATCAGACACGCGCACTTCTCATTACATTGTAGGTCCCATGCCCATGCCTACACGTAAAAGTGAGCGTAGTCCCTCATTACCAGACGCGTCAATCTTACAAGGTCATAGCATTCAAACTGCGTGAATATTTAATTAAATATGGTTGCGTCAGTTTTAACAAACGTCTTGCTCATGTGAATCCAGATTGGATTCTTTAATTTATGTTAGACCTCTGAAACGTTAAGAAAAAAAATCCTACCGACTGACCAAATTTTTAAATTTTTCGACTTGAGGGCAACATAAGTTTTTTTTTTTTTTTTTGGTCTTATGATTGTATTTTAAGACATTGTTATTTGTTATTCTTGCTATATGAGGTTAGGATAGCCATTTTTGATTAGTCAATGACTTTTGTAGTTTTCTTGTGAATTTTCATTGTCCTTGTTATGTATAATTATATAATTCCTTCTGAGGAATTTTACATGTTTCAATAAACAGTATTTACATATTCATCCCACAACACATTAAGACTGTGAAACAGTGTATGATAAAGAGGTTATTACCGGTACATGGCAACCTTGTGATATTGCATTGTTTTTGCTTGTCATCTTGGAATTCTGACTTGTCTGCGAATTATTCAGACAGTCAACAAGATGGCTTGCAACTTTGCAAAAACACTTGGTTTTTGCTTTGTTTTAGATGTGGCGATGCTAGTGTCAATTTGCTAAATGCCTGTATGAATAATTCTCAGAACCACTGTAAATAAACCTGTAAACCCTTTTATTTTTGCTCAGGTATTTTTTTTCTCTAGAAAATGTGTGATTTAACATCGGTATTTGCCACAAAATCATTAGGTAATGTTTTGTTCTGTAATATTGTTGGAACAAGCTGAAAATTTCATAACTATAATTTATTATTGCATAATTTTTGTTCTGTGAACTGTTTAAATAATTATCCTCATTCTGGAGTTTGGAAATAACGATTCTAACCAAAATGTGGATGCATTTCAATTGCAAGGTTCCTGAGCTTACCATACCCTGGGGTTTTTAATTGGCAAAGCAACATTCTCAAATTTCTGCTGTTATGTGATGTAACCTGTTTATAAATATGACATCAGATCAGAATATGCAACAAAATGACTATTACAACATCCCTATAAACTGCACAATCAAAATGATGTCACAATGACATATATGGGTGAAAGAAACAATATTCAAATCGACAAATACGCTTGGTTGTACAGTCATTCATCATCTAGAAATAGTAAATTCTCTCAAAAAAATCTTCAATAAATGTCCAATTTGATTGGTGAAAACTCTCGAATTGGACCAACTGCGGTGAAAATTAATAAAATTATGGTCACTTGATAGTTATGGCATACTTATGATACAACTATTATGTGACTATGATTCAACTAGTAGCAAGAATTTATAAAATTAAGGGACACATTTGTGTGTGTGACATGTGATGAACAATTCATGTGAATTGACGAAGTCACATGATCAAATTGCAGGATAACCAAAAACATGTACATGTAGTAACATTTCAAGAAATTCTATATTTAAAAATTAGTGAGGCAATCTGTGAAAGAACTGATTAGTGTTCATCTCAGATTATTTTTGGTAGTGATACAAAAGGCGTGTAATACATACATTTTGCATTTTTAAAATCTTTCAAAGCATCCAATGGACTGGCTAGAAATTCATTTGATTGGCACGCAGGGAATGGATTCACTTTCAAAGTCTGCAAAGTAGGAAATTTTACTTTTTCCGAGATCTTGATTGCATATATGCTTACTAAATTTGCATACGGTAGGTGCCTTATCTTGTACATTGAAATCCTTGCATTTTGGGGCAAATCTGTTAGGATTAGGTCACCTGCTGTTCATTGTTTTTATGATTAATTCGTTACCAGGGTAAACAAACATTGTATCTCACTGTGAGATGTAATGCATAGGTCATATATTGTCACTGATATTGACTTCCGGGCTAGTACTTTTTTCAGAAATCAGGGCTTTTGAAAATATGGTAGATAAATATAGCATTATAATTACAGATTTATCACGGTGTTCCTAATATATAATTGGCTCCTGTTTTCAAAATAGAGTACCGTTCACTGTTAATTGAGTAATATTAACGATCCTCACCTCAGCGTCAACTCTCGGCTCCAGCTTAGGCTTGACCAACTCAAAAGGAAGACTGGTCAGTGCATGCAGCTGACCGATGATAACTACCGTTTTGTCATTCGGGTCTGATTGAGATACAACGTGTGAATACTTCAACTCAACATTCGCCATCTTGAGTTAAACTAATATGATTGATACTTCACCAGATTTCTTAACTAATCGTTGCACTGTTCATATGTCAGTACCGTACCGAGTTTCAATATTTCCGCAAATCAACCAGCCGGCCTCAACGACCGGAAAATGTGATGCATTCTGGAACCCGGAACCTCGATTTTTGAACTCTTCCGGTTGCATGAAATGCATGAAATACAATCCTTCGACATACTCTTCTTACTCAGTTGAAAAGTTGGAGCTATTTTACGCTTGGAGTTAATTAGTAAAGAATGCCAAATCCCCAAAGAATGGTTTTCGTGTATTTTTAAAAATATCATTTGTCAAATTCAGTCTCCATACCTAGTCAGCAGTCACGGGCACGTACTTGAATTAGGAATTTAGGATTGGGTTAGGATTCTAGTGTGTTGTCCAGGGTTACGCTTATATAATCCAAATATACTTTACACCCATGGAAATGACGATTTTCTAGATTCATTTAACATTGGTTTCTTGTGCATATGTAAAAATGGTCTCAATCTATCTCCAAAAAAATATGTGACCAAGTGTGAAAAAAATCATATGTAATGTAATGTATGTGGTTATATGAGAAAGGTGTCTTTGGTTGTCACGAATTATTTGGAAATTAAGATGGTAGATTGTTATACTGTGTGATATAATGCTTTACCATTCTGGAAATAACTCTAAATTGTTTGCATATAGGTAGTTATTCATCAAAAAATATAGATGACATGTGACCAAATCAATGTGATTATGTGCTATCTGAAACAAAACAAATTTGTTAAATTTATAATTATGGTTCAAATTTCATTCTTTTTGTTATTTAGTTTAGTTTACTTTTTTATGAAAGGCTTTATCGTCATATCTTCTTTCTGGTGAAAATAAAGCATATTCCATTTTATTTTATTCTATTCTATTCTATTCTATTCTATTCTATTCTATTCTATTCTATTCTATTCTATTCTATTCTATTCTATTCTATTCTATTC